TTGTTAGAATGCTCGAGTCAGGGGTATTTTGGTCATTCTGGTGTATCTTCTTGAAAGTGAAAGGTCTATTGTATCTGAGCTTAAGTTATGTGTCCCATCTTCTATGAGGGACAAAATTGTTTTTCTTGTAACTCTAAGTTTTATGAATAAAATTCAAGTGGGTCGGCTAGGAGAGTGATTTTTCACATTCTCTCTTCTAGTCTGGCCGAATACTCTTCTCTCCTTCTTCTTCCTCTTTCTCTTTTCTTTCTTCTTTCTTCTTCTCTACTTTGACCTAGAATCAACTAGGGTTTATTCACACCCTTGACTCTTGAACTCCATTCTTGATCAAGAATTAATAAAAAACCTTTTTTTAATTACTGTAATAGGAGAAACAGCACCCAAACAACTGATAACAGCYGGCCTWGGTCTTCCAAAGAACACRGAAAACAGAATTCTGAATGAAACCAGTTCAAATTCTGATCTGAAACAAATAACAGTTCTGAATTTTAGGGTTTCTCTCAAAACCCTAAAGAAAACACAAATTCAGAAGCCGCACCCCTCAGACTAAACCAAGATGATCTTTTCTGAACAGAATCACAAGAAAAAGCTTACTTTATCAAAAAATCTCTGGCCGCCACCTTCTGGTTAATGCAAAACCCTAATCTTGAGGATCCGAAGCTTCTTCTAATTCTTCCTGACTACTGGAACTCTCCCAGACTTCTACAATCTCTTTAGTAGCAGCCACACACTACCAGTAACCTCCAAGAATCAGCCGATCCTCCTTCCTTGTTGAAAAAACTTCCAAACCTAGGAGGTTCTCATGCAGTCGGCCTAATCAGACTAGCATAAGAACTCCTAGGTCGGCTCTGATACCAAGTAGTCAATCTAGACTACAATCAGTCTTTAATTAAAAAGAAAAAGGATGAAAAATTGAAGAGAAGAAGAAGAGAATAGAAGAAAAGAAGTACACGAAGAGAGTTTCAGAAAAGAGAGAGAGTAGGTCATAATTTCTGTCGACCCTCTCTTAGTATTTATATAACTATTGGCTAATTGTAAAAGGGCTGAATTGCCCTTATTGCTTACATGGCAAATAGAATAAGAAATAACTAATAATAAAGCTGAAATAACTACCAACTAACACTGTCGTATCTAACAGAAATATTGCTGCCATACGAACACTGTGGGGACCACATCAGTGTTTTTTACACTTTCAAATATTTAATTAATTAATTTGTGACCATAGTTTCTTATATGTATTATATTCATTGCTATGGTATCAAATTGACTGGTCAATCCTCACATGCAAGATGTTCCATGGTAAGGTCTTTTCTTATCAGTAACTGTAAAATTCATTCATTAAAATCAGAAATAAAGCTCAACTATACAATAAAGATACAGACGCAGTGAGAGATAACCCTCTTATCTCTCGCCAAAACAATTTTTCTTCTTTTACAACTGTGCCCAAAGCAACTGATCTCAACCCACCCCTTGTTTAGCAAGAGCATCAGCAAAGGCATTTGCACTCCTTTTGACCCATTGAACTCTCATTTCCATTTTTGTATGAACCATTTGAATTTCTTCCTTTCGTTGTTATAACTCCACAGATTTGCCTTCTCACTTAGTATCCATCCCACAACCAATTTGGATTCCCCTTCAATAACTAATTTTCCAATGTTCAGAGACCTTGCCCTCTTTAGGTCAGTGGGCCATACGTACACCCTGTTCTATCCCCATCCCTTAATCCCCTGTAATGTGCAATATGTAATACCAAAAAAACAAATGACTGGTCAATCCAATAAATCCGAGTAAGCAACATATATATACAACTTTGAATGCTTATTTGCTTGCAATTTCAAAATGAGAGACGATAGGAATACATCATGCATCATCTGGATTTTACTATTCACATTAGGTTTAGAATATTTAATGATACAGAAATTACTTAGAACTACTTTTTAATTATAGCTGTATTAAAATAATCTAATTATAATATTTTCAGGATGCATCCACAAAGAATAAGAGGAAGGGGAAAAATAAGATAATCCCAGGACCCTAAAAGCTCACAAGAAACCACCTTGAAGTGCCTAACTGTAGTACCAACCAGCTAACAGCAACAAAACTTACAGCCCTCCAACCTATGCAACTCCCAACACCTAGTCTCCTAAGGCTTAACCCCTATAAGGCAATCAAATAAAGTAGATGATCAAAGAAATGAATTTCTCCAACTGTCATCTCCCACTCAACCTCGATACACCCCCCTTTCCTCTTACTTTCCCCCTTTCTTCTTCTTCTTGGCAGATAATCCTTAAACCTCTCCCTTTGTGAAAAATCCATAAATAAACCTACCTAAATTCTCACCAACACCCTCATTAAAATCATCTTGGACTACTGATTCCTCACCGTTTTATCAACCATCAACCTTCAAAAGGAAATCAACTTAACCTCTATGAACTTAATCTTTTTGCTCCATCCTTTTAAGCATCTGGAGTTATTCATTTTCTCTGGCATCCCACAAGAGAAAACACCCAACTTTTCTACTGACTGTAGCCCATTTTCCTATAGTCTATCTCTTCCTCAATATCAAGCCTCCTCTATCCACCCAAACATCCTCTTAGAGTAGACTTTAGATATTCCTGTTTTATTGAACCTGTTATTTCAGATTGTTCCAATAATGCATCTGTTATAGAATAAAAGCCTCACCTAATAGCTTAAGCTTTTAGGTTGAACAATTCCTTGAAATGGTATCAGAGCCTGTTTGACCAAGTGGTCTAGTGTTCAATCGTTATCACCCCCCATTATAATTAATTAAATTTCAGCACAAGGTATGGATGGGCCTGTGCTTTTCCACACTTCAAGCCCGATGGGCTTTTGCATGAGGAGGTGTGTTAGAGAATAAAAACCTATTCGGGGACCTCACCTAACAGCTGAAGATTTTAGGTTAAATGGTTCCTTGACAGCATCAATAGCTGAGCCAGCCGCCTTCATCATTTCTAAGGTGTCTCTCTCCACCTCTGAGACCATTTCCTTTAGAATAGACCCTCAAATCATTCAGATTCTTCCTCTAGCAAGAGCCCATGGTATGATAACCAATATTGTTCCCACTTCCAACAACTAAGTTTCTTTTTTTTTATCGATAACATCAAATTTTATAGAAAAAGACATAAGCTGATTGTACATAGAAATAAAGGTGTAAATGGTAAAAGGACAGTGAGAGACAAAATTCTTCTCTCTCCCTACACCCAAGTTCCTGATTTACAACTGTTCCCAGAACAATGTTTCTCTTCCCACCCCTTGTTTGGCTAAAGCATCAGCTACAGAATTAGCATATTGCTTTATCCAATTGAATGAGATTTCCATTTCTCTTGTCAACCACCTAAATTTCTTCTTTTCATTGCTATAATTCCACATCTTCATCTCTTCCCACAACTAAGTTCATTCAGTGGAAAAATGTAATAAGAAAAATTGTCTTATTTTATTATATTATTTGTACTCTTCAAAGTAAAGAACGAAGCAAGTTGGGAAGGAAATAACATTCAGATATGGCAGTAGAAATCACAAAATGTCTATTTGGTTTTGATAGTGTAATTGCAATGCAGGTCAAGCAAAGTATATGCAATACTTTAGTGATTGCCAAAGAGTTTCCAGAACACATCAACACACTCAACATGGTCCAGAACCCTGATTTATGAGGAAGCTAATGTATCTCTATTAATTCTTACTTGGAGGAAGACAAATCTAAATGAAGTGAGATTCCTTACTTTTTCTGCAGACCAAAGCTTAGGCATCTCCAGTTTTCCACTGAGTACATATGCATGAAAACCAGGACTTGCATTAAGGGTTGTATTCAGTTCCAAGCGAGCCACTTCAAATGAGAGTAGGTTGGCATTCCTATCACACTCATACCACCTCCCATTGTCATAAAGTGTAGCTTCTATAGTGAACTTTTCAAGCACACTTTCTTTAGGTGATCTTGAGTTATCAATCTTAACTTCAACCTGAATTTTGAACATAAAAAAGTATATATCATGAATGCTTCCATGCTAGGATATTATATAATCAATACATTGCATGTATCACAAATGTAGATCCAAGAAAAAAAAAATAAAACAGATCAATGAAACCTCTATTAAATTTGTAAAGAGTGATATAGATATATGGTACATGCTGGGCTGAAAATAGCCAGCAGATCTCAAAACAAAACCTGACTAAAGAGGCATTAATTGGAGAAATAAAAATAAGGGTCATTCACTGGATCAAGACCATGGAGGAACTCTCTTGCTTCGCTATAAATGAAGCAAGTAATATCACATGACAACCCAAGAGAATGGTTGGTGGAGAAGCATCATTTTCTATGACAGATGCAAGTAATATCACGTGGTTGCCCCCACCACATGGTTGTAGTCCTGGAAATCCAGGTGATTCAAGAACTGATGGTGCATTAAGAGGTCACGAGGGAGGCATCACCATCATCATCTAAGCCTTGTCCCAACTATATGGGGTCAGATAGAGATGACAAGGGAGACTCATAGGTAATTACTAGTTGGATGAAAACCATGGCTCCTAAGAAATGAAAGAATAGAAGCAAGATAGTTGGCCAATTACATGGAAGCAGAAGCTTTTTTTTTTTTGAAGATAAATAAAAAATAAAATTTTATTGAAAAGAAAAAGGTACAAAGAAGGTGACAAGAAATCACCCACAACAGAAAACAAAAAATAACAACCCAAAAAGCCAAATCCCTCCAATCCTAAAAAACAATCTTTATCCATACTCCTTACAGAATAAACAACTCTTGCTGTCAGGACCCACTCCCCTCAAGAACCCTGAAAAGCACCTTATTCGACCAAACAAACTTTAACAAACAACCTTTCTCCTCAAAATTCCTCCTAAGAATTTTCCTCATTCATCAAAGACTTCTTCTCTGATTCCCAAAACACTTTTCTTGCGAAATCATCCCCTCTTAAAAATGAAATCCCCAACAATTTGCTAACTTGGACTTCAGTTTCCACCATCATCCCCTCCTTAAAAATGAAATCCCCAAAAAGAAATCACCCACAGCAGAAGCTTTTTGGATACCCCAATCTGCAAACCCCTTTGCGCATTCACTAGCTGAAGAGGGAATGACGGAAAGACATTGATTTGGGAAGGCTATCCTTAAGTTAAAAACAAATATTATTTCTGGGTTTCATCTTTTGTACCTTATGAGTTGAGGGGTGATGAGAAATGGGCTGGCCTTTTGTAAAGAAATAAAATAGAAAGTATCACATATCATGCTGTAACATACTTTGTATATTTTTCATATGATCAATAATAAATTTTCAGTTACTGATAAGAAAACAGCCAGCAGCTTCCAACAATCAAAGCTCCCCTAACTAAATTAAATCCTACCTCCTAGGCAGACCATTGGATCCACCTAAAATAAGTAATGAACCTAGGTTCTAAGAATCATGCTTCCCTAATGGTATGGAGATGTAGCCATGGATTAGTGATTTTCCTTCCTTATCTATCAAATTACAACTTGGTAGCCTCCATCAATCTCCAACCTTGTGTATTACAATGAGACTACCAGTCTCAGATCATGAAGGACAATAGCTAAACCAGAAATGAGGTTCCTAATGCAACTAGAAATTCCACAAAAAAAAAAGAAAAAAAGAAAGGTGAACAGAAATGACTTATTACCAATCAATGAAAGAATATGTAAAAGCAAGTCCAAAATTGTATTGATATGACCAGATTTTTTTTTCGATAAATAGATATGATTGATGTCAGTTCTAGTCAAAATAGAGAGGAAACAAGAGAGAAACACAATTTGGTTGGGTGTGCCTAGATCTCACAACCCAGAATATATATATATAGTGTAAATGGACAATCTTGTCCTTACAAAAATGATAAAAATACAGCAGTGTACATGAATGATAAAGTACAACAAATAAAAGAAAGGTAAAATTACAATATTAACCCCCATCTTCTCTACACATCCCCTCAAGTTGATACCAAAGCAAGAGATTGGTCAATTGAAGATTGGATGACACATTAGGAAGAGTGATGTGACCTGCAGTGAGAAGATCTCTGATGAAGTGGCAATCCACCTTGATCTGTTTAGTCTGTTCGTGAAAGACTGGATTCAAGGCAATCTTGATTGCACTCATGTTATCAGCAAATAAAGTAAGGGCTGGATGATCAATGGCTAGGTCATGAGGAAGAGCCTTAAACGAGACGAGCTCACTGCAAACAGATGACATGGCATGATATTCAGCTTTAGTGGATGACTTGGAGTCTATCTGTTGCTTCTTACACTTCCAAGAAATGAGTGAATCACCCAAGAAAACACACCATCCAGTGGTAGACCATTTGGTGTCAGGGCAACCGACCCAATCAGCATAAGCAATCAACTAAGAGGATGAGAAGGACAAGAAAAAGAGTCCATGAGACAATATTCCTCTAATATATCTAATAATCTGAAGGACTGGAAAAATGAGGCTACCAAGGAGCAGACACAAACTGATTGACTATTCGGATGACATAGGATATATTTGGCTGGGTCGCGGCAAGATAGATGAGACTGCCAACAAGCTGACAATATAAGGTGGCGTCAAGAAGAAGTTCTCCGTCATCCCTATTGAGCCTCCGATTCAGTTGCAATGGGGTATCAACCTGCTTCAAATCAGAGAGAGTGGTCATCTTAATTAAGTCACTAGCATATTTCTCCTGGTTGACAAAACATCCCCTAGCACTTCAAGTAATCTCAAGACCAAAAAAGTAGGTCGCTAGACAAAGTTTCTTCATCTCGAAGGATTGGCTGAGAAGTTGCTTCAATTGATTGATCCCTTCCAAATCTTCACCAATAATAAGTATGTCGTTGACATATACTAGAAGAAGAGTCAAGCCTTGAGGATGCTTGAGAACAAAGAGAGAATCATCTGAGGAATTTTGTTGGAATCTTGCTTCAAGGATGACCCCACAGAATTTCTCAAACCAAGCTTCCAAAGCTTGTTTAAGTTCATATAAAGACTTCTTAAGTGAAAAGACTAAGTTAGGATCATCATGGTAGCGTGGTGGAGGTTTTATGTATACTATCTCATGGAGGTGCCCTTCAAGAAAGGCATTCTTTACATCCATCTAGTGAACAATTCATTGCTTAACAATAATGAAAGCAAGAAAAAGTTTAATGGTAGTCATTTTGGCAACCGGTGCAAAAGTCTCCTCATAGTCAATATCATGCTCCTGCTAGTATCCCTAAGCAACAAGGTGGGCTTTTATCTATCCAAGGTCCAGACTCCCATCTAAATTCAGCTTAACAAAGTATACCCAACAGCTACCAACAACGGAGGCATCTGCTGGAGGGGGGACAAGTTCCCAGGTTTCATTTTCCAATAGGGTCTGGATTTCAAAGTCCATAGCATCTTTACAATGCTCAACTGCTACAACCTGTTGGTAAGACTTTTGAATATCTGTGGAAGACAAAATAGCAGAAAGGGAGCAATGGGTTGCAAAAAATTCCATAGCAGTTAGGAGGATGAGAAAGAGGAACAACGTAAAGGAGTGGGAGTAGGAAGTGAAAGGTCACTTACATGAGGAGAAGAGGTGAATGGAATAAGGTCTAAAGATGACGGAGGAGCAGGCACTGAGTTAATGATGGAAGAGGAGGCATAGACATTTATGTAGCTGAATACTTCCTAAGGTAGACTTAAAGAGGTAGTATTGGAGGATCAAAATCACCTGTAGAAGCAAAGTATACAAAATAGAGAAGGATGGTGTAGGTAACTTAACAATGTGTTCAAAGGACAGATTTTCAAGAAAGATAACATTCTGAGATATGCAAAGATGATGAACTTTAGGAACATAGCAAAAAAAAGTCCCTTGTGTTCTAAACTCTAACCCATGAAAGAACACCTACCCGATTGAACAGTAAGCTTAATGCGCTCATGGGGAAGGAGATATACAAAACAAATTCAACCAAAGCCATGAAGCATAGAATAATTTGGTGAACAATGAAAGAGACAATAAAATAGTAATTTATTAACAAGAATTGAAGACGAAATGATATTAATGAGATGCACAGCAGTGTTGGTTGCCTCCACCCAAAAGGTAACAGGGACATGGGAGTTAGGCAAAAGGGATCTCACCATGCTCAAGATGTATTGGTTATTGTGTTCAGCAACTCTATTTTGTTGAGAGTTCCTAGGCAAGACCTTTGGGACAAAATACCATGCTTCTTTAGATATGTTTGGAACTCTCCATCCCCATCAAAATATTTGCCCCTTGAATCTGAGCGTAGTATGTGAATGGTGGCATTATGTTGGGTCATTACCATAGTATGAAAGTTCTGAAAGGTAGAAAGAACCTTTGATTTCTTGTGGAGAAAATAAACCCAGGTGTATCTAGTGCAGTCATCAATAAATAGCACAAAATATCTATAACCAAGTCTAGATATAATAAGAAACGACCAAACATCAGTACATCACTATGTATAACTTGATAAGGAACAGTAACATGCTCAAAAGAAGATAGAAAAGGAAAAATATGACTTCTTCTAAGACCACAAGTTATGCAAGATTTATTAATGTTCTTACAAACAGAAGAAGCTGTATGCAAGCAACCAGAAGCAAATAAATGATCCAAGTTCTTAGCATTTGTGTGGCCTAAACGTTTATGCCATAAATGCAAAACATCACTAGTAGAAAGAAAACAAGAAGTTGTAGAAGAGGGTCTTCTCAAACTCAAGAGCAAATGGCCTCCCAAGCCTACGCCCCTTCACTTCCCCAGTGTGTTGGTCCTATATAACACAATCATCACAAGCAAACAAAACCAATTTACCATCATTAACAAGCTGTCCCACATATATATGATTGGTTGTTAACTAGAGAATAAAGAAGGCTTTTGGGAGATGACTGAGAAGTAGAAAGAAAAAAATCATCATTACCAACAATTTTCAATGACTCACCACTAGTAGTTATAATCTGGTCATTAGAAAAGTAGGGTTTGGGAGTCTAACCAAAAGAGGCCCCAGTTATATGGTTTGAGGAAATCGAATCAATAATCCACATATGGTTAGGAGAGGGACAAGTGGTAGAGGACTCACCAAATAGGTTGGTAGCAAAAGAAACAGGTGAAATAGCTGAAGACATAAGCTGGCGTATCTTTTCTTTAATCAAAGTGCTAGAAGATTTCCCTTTTGGAACTTTAGTAAGGTAAGGAGTACCATCAAGGTGAACACTCTACAACTGTCTGAAGTGCCTTATGTTGATCTTTCTTGGGGGGCAAGTAGGGCATTTAGTGATAATATGCCCTTGTTGTTTACAGTGGGTACAGGAGTTCCCTTTCTTATAGTGAGAGGCCACATGCCCGAACTCCTTGCATTCATAACACTGAATCATGGAAAAGTCCTTCCTTTTTGGTTTGGTAGCTAGAAACACTGTGTCTAGGCCATATTCTCTCTTGCTGTCAAGAGATGACAGTGTGTACAGTCTAGTCTCCTCCCTTAGAAGTTTACCCAATGTAGTGTCCAAATCAGGCACACTTTCCCTACCGAGTATGTTCGACCTTATCATCTCATAATCTGGTCTAAGATGCATCAGAAAATGCATAATTTTCCTCTGATCAAAATGTTTTTTCATAGTCTTCACACAACAATCAGTTGTGATAGCTCCAAAATAAACAAGTTCATATTCAGTCCATAAATCCAACACAGTATTATTGGATATTTCTCTCCCCCTAAGTGTAGGAGAATATGTCCATTTCAATCAGATATTGCCTAGACATGTTTGACTTCCGATAAACTTTCTCTGGGTAGTCATACATCTACTTAGCAATTTTTAGATCCCTCATAGGAATGGATGCATCAACAGTAACCAAACTCAATATCCAAGAAATTATTTAGGCATTATTAATTTTCCATTGTTTCAGCCCTTTAGCAACTATGCTATCAAGGATGGTTGTGGTACCATCCAAATAACCCGACATACCCACTTTAACAAAAAATTGGAAATGAAATTTCCAAAGTGTGTAGTTTGTTCCATCAAACTTAACAAAAATGAAATCACTCCTTTTGGATCCCATATTCAGATAAGAAACCAAGAAAACAGCAAGAGTAACTGATAATACCCACCAAAGAACAGGAGGAATGCCTTAAAGTAAGACAGATAATCACCAGGATTCACTGAAGACCTTTGAGTAAGCAAGACAAGCCCAAGACTTGAGCTCGAATTAGTGATAGTCCAAAAAAGTAAACTGTAAGTAGCAGCCGCCCAAGTAAGAAGATCAAAATTTCACCACAACAAGAGTTGTTTATGGAGAAGAGAGATCAGGTCTAGGCGACACCAGATTTGAAGTTTGGCCTTGATCTGAACTCTCCCAAGAGAAACCTAATGAAACCTCTCTAGCCGATTACGCAACTCTGTCTGGACTGCAAGTAGGGCTGGTCAAAACAGTCCTACACTCTTCCACTGAAAGAAGAATATAGTAGATCCCAGTGGGAAAACGAGATTACTGGGTACAGAGAATATTAAACAATCAAGATACTGATCAGAGAGAGACCTGCTTTGATACTTCCAGTTGAACTTATATTGAAGTAATAAATCAAAAGGACAAAACTGGACCTTTTTTCCCTGACAATAGACTAAAACTCTAAATCACTCATACCTAAACCTAATCAATGAGATTTAAACAAAAATGCTAGACCTATGGGTAAGGCTGCAACTTGGGCCGGGTTGGCCCGAAAAAGTTGGGTTAGGTTGGGTCGGGTTGATGCTTGGGTTAGGGTTAGGGTTGAAATTCATGAACCCGACTTTACTTCGGGTTGAGTTAGGGTTGACCCCTTAGGCAACCCAAACCTGACTCTATGTACATGTCATATATAAATATATGTTATATGTAATATATAACATACATTGATTTGTTTAGATGCAAGATATTTGTATAGCCCCCACCACATAGTATCATGTATTTCTTTTAAGATAATCGATACACTTAATCCTAATCAGAAAGACTAAAACCTTAATAACATTATTTTATGTTTTTTGAAAATTTTATTCTTCATCTCCTTTCTGTTGTTTGTTGCCCATAAAAGATCTATCATAAGTCATAACTCATGATAAATTATAGTCATTTCTAACACTTGTATTTCTGAATTTTGTACTAAAAGAACAAAAAAAACGTCAACAAATAAATACTAATGAAACATAGGATTAATATATGTAGTGAAAGTTGAGTTAAGATCTAAAATCGAGAAATTCCATGAAGTTTTAAGGGATGGGAAGAAGGTTGGGTTGGGCCCAACCCGAAATTGACTTCGGATTGGGTTGGGTTGGGTTAGGGTTGAAGGAATTTAGTTAGGGTTAGGGTTAGGGTTGAGTTGGTCGGGTTGAAGGTCGGGTTGAGGTAGGGTTAGGGTCGGGGGTTTAGAACTCCAGGTTGGGCTAGGGTTGGCATCAACCCGACCTAACCCGGCCCGACTTGCAGCCCTACCTATGGGCATCTTAATATGTGGGGTCCATGTGGTTAAACTTTAACTTTGGCTGTTGACATTGTTGACAGTCCACATATTCCAACAATAAAAATATTTTTGATGAAGACCTTCTTCTGATCTGATCAGTTTGAGATTTTGAGGAATATTTTTGCAATCTTTAAATATTGACAAAGTTTTGGATCAATCCAATGGTGGGATCGAGAGAAACTAAGCTTGTAAGTTCTGTCCAGAAGCAGTGTTTTAAAAGTGAATGGTGTGGCTACCCGAACCGGTGTGTCTACACATGGCACAAGAGAAGTGCAAGAGCCTTTTAACATATGAGGCACAAGTACAAGGTGAGATTGCACCTTTTTGACATTGTTGACAGTCCACATATTCCAACAATAAAAATATGTTTGATGAAGGCCTTCTTCTGATCTGATCAGTTTGAGATTTTGAGGAATACTTTTGCAATCTTTAAATATTAACAAAGTTTTGGATCAATCCAATGGTGGGATCGAGAGAAACTAAGCTTGTAAGTTCTGTCCAGAAGCAGTGTTTTAAAAGTGAATGGTGTGGCTACCCGAACCRGTGTGTCTACACATGGCACAAGAGAAGTGCAAGAGCCTTTTAACATATGAGGCACAAGTACAAGGTGAGATTGCACCTTTTTGAAGCAAGGTGCAAAATTTTGAAAAAATAAGATCAAAATATCAAAAAGAAAATTAGGACTTGATCCCCTAAAGGGAATTATAAAAACCCGGGGTGGCTAGTAGCAATCAGTATACGTATTAGGCAAAACCTATGGTACATGAAGCAAAAAAACATGAACCAGTGATAAAATGACACATCATAGCTGACATCTTTAACGTTGTTGAAGTCTTGATGGTAAATATACCTTGTGAAATATGAACCAATGAAAAGTAAGTAGACCATGTGACATCTTTAACGTGATTGGTTGAAATTTTAGTTAACGTGTTGCAAATATTTGTTAATAAACCATAGTTGGGCTCTACATATTATTCTTCCATATCTTTCTAGTAAAATTTCAACAGTTAAAACTCCCTAGGCCCACATCCATTGAACTGCCTATCTTACAAGGCAAGGCCCACAAGTATTAAAAAGCCTGTGAAAATTTTTCAGTGACCAGAATCAACTTGCCCTTACATCCATTGGATGATGAGCCAAGGTTGCAAAACAGTAGCTCTCAATTAATCATCAGAAATAGAGCTATAGCAACCATGCCAATGGAAACTCAATCATGTTGAAACCAAATATCAAAATGCAGCTTTAACATAACAAAATCATTGTCGTGACACTGAATAGAAAATAAGGATAAATAGATGCATAGCAGTAAAAGCATCAAAATCCTGTAGTAATATGTGCCTCGTGTGTGAAGGCAAATGGAGTACAAACATCCCTTTGACTTATTTAAGTATAATTGTATAAGTGAAACTGGTTAAGATTCACTTTTCTAATCAACAACAAATAAATTTTCTTGAAATTAAGTATTCTTCTCAAAATAATATAAAGCATACCTGAATATCTGCACAAGAGAAATCTTCCACTAAACTTGATTTGAAAAAATAATCTGTGATGAACACCTGCATAACCAATTAATTCCTTCATTTTGTGATCATGAAAAACTACACAAGATAGAATTTAACAACATGGATAAAACGAGTATAGTTTGTATAGAGATATTGGGCTGGATGGACAAAACAATAGAGATTTCAGCTCTCAAAATCTTATCTTCTTCTTTATTCTCTTCCCTATCTTTCCTTGATTTCTTATATGAAATAATAGGTTAAAAGAAAACAGTGTTAAAATTGTAAAACAAAGCAAACCAACCTGTGGCTTAGCTAGAAGAAGCACATCACGATGAATACCAGATAACCACCAATGGTCTTGATCTTCAAGATAAGAACCATCACTCCACCTAACAACTTGAACAGCTAGTACATTTTTCTTGTCAGAGCCACATGGATGGCAGAAATCAGTGACTTCAAACTCTGCAGGGAGCCTACTATCCTGACTGTCCTAATTCATAAAATTGATGTTTTCTTGTTAATTCATCTGACAAAGGAAATAATAGAATTGTCATCAAAATTTTCATTATTGATTAATTTAAACAGCTATTTTTGGTCAAAAGCAACAAATCCAAATGAAGGATCAGAAACAAGTAGAAAGGTGATTGTTCAGTACAGTAGTACATTTGCATGTCAAATGATCCCTTAATGCATCTTGAAACTGTCATTTTCACTAATTGGTTTTGCATCTCCATTCAACTATCTATAAAATCTGTAGAGTCTTCCATAAATAAAGTATACAAAGATATATTATTAAATAACAAGCCAAGATGGGCTAATCTAAGAAATCAAGAAGGAAAGGAACATGCAAAGGAATTCCCAACCTGCTGAAGTTGCCAAATCCATAAATCAAGATTAGTGTAACAACCACTCTTCCAGGTTACTATAACAAACCTATAGTAAAAATCTAATAAAAAAATGTGGTGGAGTTACTAGTTACTAATTATTCAAATAAGAATACAAAAGGTTAGTGTAACAAAATCTAGGATCAGAAGCATAGCACCCATGTGAAAAATGGTCAGTATATTTGTTAACGACTTGCTTCTAATGCAAATTACACACCTATATCCAACAAGGATCCCATTTATCCAAACATGAAAGGCAGAATCAACAGCTTCAAAGTGCAACAAGATCCGACGACCTGTCAAATGCCAATCAATGTATGAATTTTTTTTAATCAATAATTGAAGACCAAAAAGAGCTTGTGACATACAAAGAAAAGCTAAAAAGGATTTAGAAGAGTGCAATGCAAATACAGTTAAGAAGACATAAAGCAAAAGAAAAGAACCCCAAGCACCAAGTGACTTTCGAGTTCAGATCAATCCAACAGTTTAAGATGAGTTTTCGACTTTGGAAGGAAAAAAAAAACATGAATTCTGGTGCCCTCTGTTGTTCAATTCTTTGCTTTTTTTTTTTGATGAATAATAATAAATTTATTGATTCAGAAGCAAATCTGTTGTTCAATTCTTTGTTGTTTACTGAAAGAAAACCCCACAGCAGATGAACAAACCCTCGATAGATCATCTATGGTGACTGCTTGGATTCTTACATGTCAAAACCTAATATGTAATTTTATGTAATTTTATGTAATTTTATGTAATTTTCAACATGATGTGATCCATTCTGTCCTTATTCTTGAATATTCTTGCATTCCTATCAACCCATAAACTCCACAATATCGCTGTCCTAATGTTGTACCACAACATTTTCTACCTTTTTGTATGGACAAGAGATTAGTTGAAAAGAAAATGGCTCACAAGCGTTTGAAGAGGGTGATCAAGTTGCCCCCAAAAAGGAGGAAGTGATTCCATAACTGAGGCACGACCGTGCAAATTGACAAGATAAGAAAAGGTGATTTTTACTCTCCCCACTTTTGAATCAGAGGACGCAAATGTGAGGAGATAAGAATTAATGATCTGAAGCTGCATCCAAGTAGAACACTTCTCCCTTTTGAGGAAAGGGAACTTTCCAAATGGCTTTAACTAGCAAAGGTTGGGTTGATGGATTGGTCTGATAAAATGTTTTTAAAATGAAGTCTAAGAATCACTTTAAGAGTTCTCACTTCTTGTGCATCAAGGAACTTTCCCAATATGATGGTATCATCCGTATATCATAGATGATACTATCGTATTTGATATGGTATGGTATGAAAACATTTTTTATCAATAGCAGTAACTTTATTAGAAAAGATATGGAAATTACAACCAGAATGGAGGGGTAAAAAGTCTTAACCTTCCCTGTCAAAACTGAAAACACATATTACAAGATAGCCCAAAAGAAATTTGTTCTTCCCACCCCCTGTTTAGCTAAAGTGTCAGCCATGGAGTACTCCTCTTGGCCCATTCAACCCTTATAATCATGTTCTGAGTTAGCTGATTAATTTTCTTTCTTTCATTTGAGAACTTCCACAGGCTGGACTCTTCCTTCTGCAACCATCTAACAGTCAACTGAGAGTCACCTTCCACCAGCAACTTACTAATATTCAACTGCTTAACTGCTAGGATTTCAGCTCTCAGTGAATCCCCCCAACCTAAAGGTCCTGAGAACATAGCAATAATTCGACCTTCTTCATCCCTGAAAATACCACCCATGCCTCAATGGCCTGGATTTCCTCCACTGCTACCATCAAAGTTCAATTTGATGAAACCCGAATCTGGTGGAGTCCAAACAAATCTAAGAGCAATGGACATGGGAGCTGACCGAGCCACTTCTTCCCAATTTCTAATGATGCCTCCTACTGAATAGGCTTCAAAGAGCTTCAAAGACTTGACCCAATGGGCCACCCTAACATATATAAGTTCTATGATGGCTTCCTTGCTTTTTTTCTTTTTTTCTTTTTCATGAAATAATCTTTGATTTCTTTCTTCTCAGACCGTCCAACAAACAGCAGCTCTAGCACATCTCCACAAGATTTTACCTCTCTTTTTTAAACCCCTCACTGATGTAGAGCTAAACAAGCTTTGCACACTTGAAGGGGAGGGCCACCTGCAACCAAATAGAGAAAAAAACCAACACCAGATATCTGAAACAAAAGGGAAAGAAACTAACAAGCGATAACACTTTCACCATTCTTCTTACATAAGATGCACCGGTGCAGGGATAAACACCAATTAGGCCTTTTCTTTTGAAGTATGTCACAAGTGTTACACTTTTTCTAGGATTGCTTCCCAGCAAAAAGCACCTACCCTAGGAGGGATTGGGCTACCCCAAACTTCCCGAACTAGAAAAGGAGACCCAGGTACCGGACTAGGCTGTGTCAGTGCTTTGAAAACAAAGGAACAAGAAAAGATACCCGAAGGAACAACAGACCAAACCCTAGAGTCCACACTGGAAGGTTCAAGAACTACCTCATCCAAGATCTTAAGCAAATACGAAATGGGTTCCAATTCAGAATCTCTAAGAGCCCTTCTAAGACCCAAGTTCCAACCAATAGCAGAATTAAACAAGGTAGCAAAGGTTGTTACTGGTTCAATTTTAAACCTAGACAGAGCAAACAAAGAGGGAAACTGCTCTTTCAAGGGAATATCTCCCACCCAAGTGTGTTCCCAAAAGTTTACAAACAAGCCAAAGCCAAGATCATACCTGAGGAAGGGAAGAAATGATTGAAGGATGGCATGGATCGCCTTCCACGGAGAAGCTCTTGAAGCCCTAGATGATAGTCCTGAATCCCAACCAGTTGCCTCTTGCCCATGAATACTTAGGATTATTGTAGCCTACAGGTTCTCCCTTTCTTTGGACCACCTCCATAACATTTCCCTAAAAGAGCTTCATTCTTCTTCTGCAGATTTCCCAACCCCAGTCCCCCTTCACTTTTAGATCTTGTAACTAGATCCCACCTAACTCTATGGTCCCTTTTCTCCTCCCTGGGTTCCCATAAGAAGTCCCTCATTAGTTTTTCCAACACCCTACAGACTCCTTCAGGAATTCTGAACACAGACAGGAAATAGATTGGAAGGTTTGCCAATGTTGACTTAATCAGGGTTATCCTACCCCCCAGAGACAGGTAGTTCTTCCAAGAAGCTAACCTTTTAGTGAATCTGTCAATCACCGGATTCCAAAAGCTCATTTTTCTAGGATTATCCCCTAAAGGAAGCCCTAGATATTTCAGTGGCCATTGAGCTATCTCACAACCTAACACTCGGGCCCTTTCCTCCACCTCTCCAACACTCATATTAATACCAATCACACAGCTCTTACCAAGGTTTACTTTGAGGTTGGTCATTTGTTCAAACACCTTAATCACCAACTTCAAGTTGCTCATCCATCTAGTCTCATCTCCATCACAAAACAGAATTGTGTCATCTACAAATTGTAGGTGAGTGACCGGAACCTTATCCCTCCCCACTCTCTAACCACTGATCATACTTCTTGAATCTGCCCTCTCAATAAGCCTCCCTAACACTTCAGCAATTAGGGTAAAGAGGAAGGGGGAGAGAGGGTCCCTTTGCCTAATACCCCAAACAGCTAGAAAATGATCCACCACCTTGTCATTCACTAACACAGAATAATGGCAAGTCCCGATGCACCCTTTTATCCACTTACACCATCTTTGCCCAAATCCAAAGGACTCTAAAACTTCCAACAACAAAGACCAATCAACCAGATCATATGCCTACTCCAGATCCAGCTTACACACCAGCCCTTTCTCACCTCTACTTCTATAATCTTCCACACTCTCATTTGCAATTAAGATTTGGTCCAGAATTTGTCTATTCATCAAAAGGCACCTTGATTGTGGGAAATAATTGAGGGGAGCAACTCTCTAATTCTTCTGGATAACACCTTAGCAATGATCTTGTAGAAGCTATTAACCAAACTGATGGGTCTGAACTCTTTAGGGTGACAAGCCCCCTCCTTCTTCGGGATTAAAGCAATAAAAGTAGAATTCAGGCCCGGGTTTATCACACCTCTTTCAAAGAAATCTGAGAACACGACTTGAATGTCTGCCTTAATTATCTCCCAGCAATCTTGATAAAAGGCCATCGTGAAACTTAAAAGATTAAGTAGTGGAGATGGAGGTGGAAAAAGGATTAGGAACAGTAACATTAATGGAGAATGCATGTTGAACAAAATAACCAGGGGGAATGTGGTTGAAGGTTAGAGATCATTGCTTGGTACAATGGTTAAAATCTTGGGCCAAAAAGCATGAGGATGGGGTTCAAGTCTGAAAGGGGACTTCATGAAAAAATGCTAGAGTTTAGATATGTATATAATCCATCTGTCTGAAGACCCTGGATAGCCTAGACTGTTAGACAGTATATATGCCCTCAGCTCCAAGCCTCCAACTGATGTATTGTACATATCTTTAGCAGGTTTATATTTCTTGTATTTTGATGTTATTCCTGATTTTGTGATTGGGATGTTAAGGGGCAATCCTGATCTTGTATTTTCTTAAGGGGTGATTCCTCATCACCTATTGCTTTGGATTGCCATATCATTGTTTTTTATTAATGAATTATTTTTATTTATTATCAAAAAAAGTTAGCTTGACATCCTTTTCTTTCTTCACCAATAAAATCTAATTACAAAGTAAGTTTATAGAGTGCACAAATGTTTGCCAAGTTACAAGATCTGATTACAGTTTTAGGCCATCTGGATGGAGGCATAAAAAAAATTGCAAGATGCCTGATAGAGTTCATTTAGAAACAAATGCTCCAAAAAATGAAGAAGCATAAAAAGATTAGACCTGTGTAATAAATAATTAGCAACTTTTACCAACACAATCCTAGTCATCATACCCTCCCATTCTTTAGGGATGTGGAAGCATGTCCTGTAGCATCCAGTAGGGTTGTCTGCAGGAACATATGGAGGATCAAGTGGGAAAGGATATACAACATTTGTGTAAATCGGTCGATCAAAACCATGCATCTGCCAGTTGGAAGGGACTGTTCCAGAGAAACAAAAATGTAAGATTACATGAAAGCATGTTTCAGAAGAACATATATTTAAAAAGTAATTACTGAATTAGATATAGTGAAAAGAACAAACAGAAATAATTGAATATAAGTGATGCAATAAAGTTATCTTGTTAAACTAACAAACATGCTAAAGCTATGAAAATAGTCTCTTGGAACAATAGTATTCAATGATTAGTTAAAGAAACACAAG